CACTGATGATGTCACCTCGATTGGTGATGAAACGTTTGCAACCAAATTGCCCAGCTCAGCAAACAAGCCAACGACCATATATATATATCCCGCTATACTCTGCTTTTGAGGCAGGAAAAGGCCTCCTCTGAAAACCCGGTCTTCTATTCTTTGCGCCAGTAGTGGTTGGACTTGTGTCATAGCTGGGGATCGTACGCTCGTTCTCAAGTCGTGTATAGTAGTTGATCGTACCCGTTCAGATACATAACAGTCTACAAGAGTTTGTTTTGAAGGTACTTTCGATACAGTCGGGCAAGGTCTGTTATGATCAGCTTGACCTCGTGAAACAGTGTATCATGGCGCGGGCCTGAACTGTTGATCTGAAGTGTGATGAGCAACTCAGAGGTGTATTCAAATTTCTTAGTTCGTAAATAGGTGAATGGTTTTAGCCCTAAAACCTACCTATTTTTACTGTCAACCGATGTGAGGTGTTTACGTGTGACCATGTCAGAGTCCCATGTCGGTTACACCATCGACTGGTGATCTGTGAGGAGATGATGACTGTCTCCGTTATTCAGCTTCGTGGCTCAGTGAACTACGTTCATATGGACAGGCCTCCATTTGCTTGAGTTTGCGTTCCTATATTGCACGGAGCTGAGTGAGGTCTTCTCATGTATCAGGCGTACTTTTCACTGGAGATATCATGTGGGTAATTAGTTGTCCAATATGTTCTGTGTTTTTCACTGTGGCTTGGTCACTAAATTGATGATACCAACCGGATAGGCCAATTTAGTTCACACAAAGTTAGGTTACCCGGATGAGATGTAAACTTGGCTGGACGTGGTTACAGACCTAGAACTTCAATGATCAGAGAATGAGTGCAGATTTGACTTCTTCCTCGAAGAGTTGTGGGTGAGATGGGATTTCGGTTAGTGCCAGTGAAAAGGTGTATATCCCTAGTGAAGCATGTGACTACTGTCTGGTCAGGTGTCAAGGCGGTGTCCCCGCATCTGATGCAAGGTGCAAAAAGTATGAAATTGCTTCGCAGTGCTTGTTGGCTATTGTTTAGTATCCCAAGAAAGTCTAGGAAAGTTGAACGGAACATTTGACAATGTTCCATTTTCAAATATTCAGTGCAACCGTAATTCTTACTTAGATATCGAATAGCTTGCAACCGGTTAGTTCCTGTTGGACAACAAACCACTCCGCATTGGAGGTCCTTCCATTCACTAGGTTAAAACCTAAACCGACAGGAATGCAGGCAGCGTATTCACAAAATTTTTGTTGTCCTTTTCATTCGGATTATGAATTAATATCTTGAGTATATTACGATCTCCTTTTCCTCTTCGTCAAAAGGTCGCGATTGGGACAGTTGTGTCGCACTTTGTTGAGCTTCAGGACAACCACAACGTGACGATCGTTGGCAGTATTAGTAGCGGGTAGGTTTAATCTCGTTCATACTAATATTCAGAGTTTTTTGTGGCACGTTGTCCTTACAAGTGATGGCAATGATATGATAGTCTGAAGGACCGAAAAGATTGAACAGTGTGACCATCGTTCTGGTGACGCCAAGCGGCAAACGCTAATCTTGGTCAAGGTAGCACACCGCTGCCAGCAGTCATAAAGTCGCCCACGATGACGCTCTGTTAGCCCTAATTGGTACATCGAAACCTGTCGCCCTTTGGATCTGGAACGAGGTCTACGGCAGAATTCCCAGCTCCAGAAAAACTTTGTCATAGAAAACCAAACGTTTTTGGAAGAGCCGCCTCAGCTGTTGAGGTGATAGCTCGACAGCTGTTGACAGTCCCATGGAGACGATCTCAAACAGTATTCAGAGGCTCTCAAGTAACGTTCGAGGTGGGTGTAACGGCAGCTGGATTAGATGCTATCACAACAGCCCACTGAACCCTCGCCACCTTAACCTCAATTATGTGATAAATTAATCTGTGTTCCGTGGTTGATTTGTGTCGACCTCAAAACCAAAGTCAAGAAGCTGTTGCACAGTCGCCTTTACGTTATCGGAGGCCATCAACCAGGTATACACCCAGGCCTTAATGGTCCTTAAACCAGAGGGCTTTTTAACTAACTTAAGCAAGTTGCTCAGCATTACTCTTCAGTGCGTCCGGGTGAGCACAAAATAATTACGTTCAAAAAATGCAGAGAAAGGGGATTTCCAGCGAACAATTTGAAGGGCAATGCCACGCCCAGAAACAATTATATCGGTCTTGCAATCATGGAAGCGACAGCCGCAGTTCCAGTTTTAATCAAGTGGGAAACAGTGAATATCACAGGGGTGAAAACATGCATGTGTACAGGTTCTCAAATCGGTAGCAAGATTGTCACTCAGCATATCGTACTTTTTATCAATCAGTATAGTTGCATCTCCCGAAGATGAGAATGGAAGTTTGGCGTGCAGGCATACATGCGAATGGACACGATGATACGGGAGAGCAATAGAGAGCTTGTTTCGTTTTCAGGAGATCTAAATTCATCATGCTACAATGATTCGTTCTCTTGAGTCACGTGCTTAACAAATACCTACACCAAGTCACGCAGAGCCGAAAGGATTCGCTTCGCAAATGTCATGTTGGAAAGACGACGCACTACCAACCGTCCCATGTTAAACTGTTACCGTGACCAACGGGTTTCGGGAGAAAGCGATCCACAACGAATAGTTTCAGTGAATGACAAATCATGCGCGATAACTCCCTTAGTTTCTGGAATGATGCTTGGGCAGACAGGATACTCATGATAGGGCGGGGTATTGCTTTGTGGGAGCCAGCCAGAACTAAATAGTGATAGCATCTGCATGACTGGCAATTTAATTCATCCGTCAGTGTGCTACGTCCGGATGTTGGGCCGCACCTACGCTGGATATACAGTACCCATCCTCTTTACTACGGTGTGGCGTGCACCAGCTTTTTCGAAACCGTAGTTGAAGTGGGTTAAGATATGCCAGTTCACACGTTTCTGGGACACAGTTTACTTGCGAACCGTGCACATGTTTACGAAACAGCATTCTAGTTATGTTTTCTGTGCGTAATGATGGAATTTGACTGCGTCCCTGTTTCAGGATGCCACCGATCAGCGTGCCACAATGGAATTTGATGTCTCCAATGGTCACCGATGCCATCATAATTGGTTTCACGAGTACCTTCCTCACGATATCGTTGGTCAAATTGTTCGCCATGAAGTACAAACAAGATATTGACTATAACCACGTAAGTACCACTGATTGTTTGACGAACAGCAAAATTTGGAAGTGCGGAGGTTTGTTGAGCCGGGTCACAGTCGCCACTAGAAAGCATTGTCATCCTACAGCCACAATAAGATATTTCTATTTCCGCATGCTGGATTTTAGCGACTGATCCTCCGGAAATGGGGATCTCTAAGTCATAACGTTAACTGATAACACCACTTGCATTCTAACCAGCTGATCAAGACTTCCACTCAGTGGACTGATTTTGAACCTAAAATACCACGTCTTCCTTCGCCAGTCTTGATAAGCGATAGCAGTTTTGAGACAGAAGACAAGTTGGATGTGGGAGATATCGACTTAAAGTATCAACGACCCCACCAACTCAAGCCTGCTAATTAATGTTAGGCAGATAAGTGAAAGCGTCCGACGTGAGAAACAGCATCATTTTTTCATTATTTGTGTATTGGCTACTGAACGGGCCCAGCGCCTGACCGGACAAAGAAAGTATTAACTAAATGGGGACTGTGGGCTTAGACGCTTGAGTTGGAATTACAGATGTAATTTGAAAACTATGGGTGTAAAGGCGGATACTACTGAGTAGTAGCGTGCGAGTAGTACGTCGTTTTCTCACAACGCCGCCTCGCATCTAATGGAAGTTGGGGTTTATTACGGAACTTGTGGAACTGCTTTGCGGCATTCGTTTGCGACTGTGTGATAGTCAATAGATATCCAAGAAAGTTCAAGAAGACGCGTGAGGATGTTCAGTTCTCAAAAACAAAATGCATATGGGACGTTTACTCTGCTGTTTCGCGGTTAAGGCCTTTTCTCCTCACATGGGTTGTCGTTAGTGCAAACTACTCATGTTACAAAACATCACACGTTAGCTACCTACCTCGTTCAGTACGAGATTGTCTGGGTGGTGGCTGTAGATGTCTGTTAAGGCTAGCTTCACCTGTTGAAAATTCTCACACTAGTCTGCGCATGTCACTCTCATCATTTTTTCATGACTTTTTACATCATTTAAGTAAGTTATTGTTAAAAAGATTTGTATTCACCTTTCTTCTAATTTTCCAGGAGCTCACATCACTCGGTGTGATTTCGCTCATCGCTTCCTTCTTCTCGAGTATCGCCCCATCCAGTAGCGTTTCTCGAAGTATGGTACTTGAGGGAGCCGGTGTAAAGACAACTGTATGTAATACTTATATCATCTTCCAGTTTTTGTTCAGTTCTGTTCGGTATCAGAAGCGGTTGTGGAATTCTCAGTGTATTCGATAACATTTCTCAACGTCTGAATAGGTTGATTACTTCATGAGAACTCCCACAGACTGGGCCGATCTTCACACCTCGGTGTTTTATCTTGCAGCTGCCTTCGCGACCAATGGGTCCGGAACGCCCTCAGGATACCCCACTTTTAGTCGTGCGGTGATCAGAGACTGCGTTTAGTCCTTGACAGGCTGAGTACCTTATGGAAGTTCAAAGACAGGATTTCGACAGACACCCAATTCACGCAGACCAACAGCCACGCGAGCAGCTACTAGGAGTTCCTGGCATCCATTAATCGGTCGATTCTGTGATTCTTCTTCTGATTTTATCCTTTGGTGGGACAAATCCTCTGGACCCTCAAATGTAGTAGTCTATACAGAGCCCAAACTGATTAGAGAAACAAACAATGGGTAATTTTGGGGAGTTAAACGAATTTATGCTGAAAAGCCAAAAAGCATTGTCCATCCATTTCATCATCACTGGGAATCAGCAGCAGAACCAAACTCCATGGAGTTTGAAACCTGCGAACTCCTGGCTAGTAGTTCGGGCATTTAACCGTTCGTTCACGAGCGGCTGATCACCACTGTGATCATTTAGCATTTAGAGAGGATGTGGTACTACTCATCACTGAATCCACGTAGTTTGGACAACTATTGGCAGGTTGCTCGAGTGATGACTTCTCAAATGAGAGTTTCAGTTATCTTATGGAGTGCGCAATTGTGGGATGTGTAATGCTGAATACTTTTAATAAGGATTTAATGACTGTGCGGTGCTTCTTGATTTCTCAACCTAAATTAGTTTGGCATAGGGAACGAAATCTTTGTTGGAAACTTCCAAATGTTCTTACGCCACCAACAAAATTTATTTTTCCTCCGTGTTCTAGATTATCCTTTGGAGTGTCTGGCTCCATTTTATTGGTCTCATTAGGCTGGCATGAAATATCCATTGATTATGTCCTGACGGGAGTTTGTCGGCGAGAATAGCTACTCCAAAGAAACACATACTCCCATCAAGACGATTTACTGCTATATTTTGAATACTGTGTCAAGTGAAATTGAGGGACCTTTGGGCAGTATATTCATCCGGAAAATAACTTAGGTGTGAGATGCATTTGGGTCTCATTTTAACACTGATGTACTTAGCAAACGAACATATTTCGTCAGTTACGTACACTTTGGTGTTAGAATAGGTCATAAGGTTGATGGTGACTGTGCCTACCTGATTAGCTTCGTGAAGCGAAACCAATCTGGACTGTCCAAGAGTTTTCAGCAACTTCTTAGTAGTCCGTTACATCAAGAAAATATGCTCCTCTATGATAGTAAGCAATTGAGTTGAGTGCACAAGGTTATGTGATTCGTCCAGCAAGAGTTTCATTTTCTATTTTATTTTAAGGGTTACAACATTCTTGCTAACCATTTTACTCGCGTAGTGATGGATACTACTGATGAACGGTGCAAGTAGTCTAGGGCCAGTATCGTAGCTCCGCCCCCCGTTTGATGGAGGGTGAAGTTTATTGCGGAAATTGTACAACTTCTTTGCAGTATTCGTCTAGTGCAGTGTAATGGTCTGTGAATACCCACCAAATTCTAAGAGGACGCGTGAGCATGTTCACTTTTTAAAAAATACTATGTGCACATGAGCTGTTTATTTTCTTGTCTAATGACTTGGAACTGCTTGGTTCGTGTTTGATATCAGGCGACTTCGCAGCGACTGGCTTTCTTCGTTTCATATTCCGTTAAACTGACCATAGCCGGTACGGATCACAGCGACACTTGGGGTTCATGGCCTTCGGGCGAGCCATTAAGTCTCGATATGTTGGTTTAGATTGTGCAAAGAGGAACGAGTCCTCATTATTATTACTATTATTTTACCTGGGCCGTCTTATCTTTCTCGTTTTTCGGCTTCGAGTTGTGTGTGTGTCCTCAAGTTGTGTTCCTGTTTTGTGTAAGTAACCGTTTTATCATGAAGCACAATGCCAGTCTTTGTCAACAACAAAGTGACCCGTCGTCCGTGGGCGTCCGTGATTTTCTGTGCATTCTGTTGATAAACAACTAGATTCGTTGTCAGGAGTATTCAGCGGTATGAATTGGCAACCTGATATGAGTGGACCTTTTTTCCATTTCTTTTCCAGCTAAGTGGGATTCCAAGTGGATTACTAGTCATCTTTGTATTGCTGTTCCTCGGACCGTACTTTTCCGTCACTCCAACGGTAAGTGTGTTTTAGACTCGGCAACAAAGACTGAAACCACTCTCAGAAGGGACCACCATTCGGTGCCTTGAACCACATGCTGGTAGTAACCGTTTCTTTAAAAAACCCACTTTACAAAAGGAGCTGGTTGTCTATAGAGGAGAATGTCGGTAGTTCAGGTAGCGTAGATGGTCGTTGGCTTGTTCGCTGAACTGGGCAATTTGGTTGCAAACGTTTCGTCACCAATCGAGGTGACATCATCAGTGTGTAGTTGTGCGTAGCACAACCCCTGATGATGTCACTTCGATTGGTGACGAAACGTTTGTAATCAAATTGCCCAGGAGCTGGTTGTGTTCAGTTTTTTTTTGAACAAACCTTTTAAAGAGCACTCCAGAGAAAAATTAACTAATTGGCTCTTTTCAACCTATAGAATCCACTTATTTCCTATCAGGGGGCCTTATTTTCTGGTGAGATATTGTTGAAGTTTTCGATGCGGAAATTTGTGTGACATGTAGTTTGACGGTCTCGAATATCAAAAGGAGGAATCCGGTTTGAAAGTCTACGGTACTATTCACACAAAGGTAAAGTTATGAACCAAACCTCAACTGTGGACATTCGTAGTGTGCACAAGTGCACAAGTCTGTCACCTATCGGCTCAGTGCAATGTCAAGGTCCGCAGACCAAGCAACATCGAGTGGAATGTTCGTTCGCTAGTGTTGGTTGCAGTCGTTCCTCCCGAGGACAGTCTCGTGATTCTGGTTTTTTGTACGGTTACACGGAGAGCCTGAGAGACCAAGTTATGACAAGCCCAGCAAACGGGTAGGCAGGTCAACCGGGCACATTTACACACAGACACGTGCTAGTACACAAGTGTGGGACAAAATTTGTCCGTTTTGCTGATTTCTTACCGAACAATTTATTGCCTCACAGAATGGGTTTTCATAATCACGTACATCTTTGTTCTTGAAAGGTCATCTGTCATCACCAATGTTTTTTTGCGTCAGCCCTTTCTTGCGCGAGGTAACACTGACCGACGCCGAATTTGTTTCCTCTTTTCAGTGCGTCCTCTCCGCTATTATTGTGGTCGCACTGAAGAACATTATTGCTCATCTGTCACATACTCCAAAGCTTTGGCGCACCTACAAACGTGATTTCGTAAGTCTGGTACCCTATATATTGAACCACACTGTCATCATCATCATCAACGACAGCATGACATCAGTGCTCAACACCAATGCTTCACTGCCGTACAACCATGACTTATTTGAAAGCCTTATTGTAAAGAAAAAAATAAAGGTGGATGGGGGAGGGACTTAGCGCTAGCTTAACACAATCATTCCGAGGTGCCTACACCTCTTCTTTAAAAAACCCACTTTACAAAAGGAGCTGGTTGTCTATAGAGGAGAATGTCGGTAGTTCAGGTAGCGTAGATGGTCGTTGGCTTGTTCGCTGAACTGGGCAATTTGGTTGCAAACGTTTCGTCACCAATCGAGGTGACATCATCAGTGTGTAGTTGTGCGTAGCACAACCCCTGATGATGTCACTTCGATTGGTGACGAAACGTTTGTAATCAAATTGCCCAGGAGCTGGTTGTGTTCAGTTTTTTTTGAACAAACCTTTTAAAGAGCACTCCAGAGAAAAATTAACTAATTGGCTCTTTTCAACCTATAGAATCCACTTATTTCCTATCAGGGGGCCTTATTTTCTGGTGAGATATTGTTGAAGTTTTCGATGCGGAAATTTGTGTGACATGTAGTTTGACGGTCTCGAATATCAAAAGGAGGAATCCGGTTTGAAAGTCTACTATTCACACCCTTATTTTCTGGTGAGATATTGTTGAAGTTTTCGATGCGGAAATTTGTGTGACATGTAGTTTGACGGTCTCGAATATCAAAAGGAGGAATCCGGTTTGAAAGTCTACGGTACTATTCACACAAAGGTAAAGTTATGAACCAAACCTCAACTGTGGACATTCGTAGTGTGCACAAGTGCACAAGTCTGTCACCTATCGGCTCAGTGCAATGTCAAGGTCCGCAGACCAAGCAACATCGAGTGGAATGTTCGTTCGCTAGTGTTGGTTGCAGTCGTTCCTCCCGAGGACAGTCTCGTGATTCTGGTTTTTTGTACGGTTACACGGAGAGCCTGAGAGACCAAGTTATGACAAGCCCAGCAAACGGGTAGGCAGGTCAACCGGGCACATTTACACACAGACACGTGCTAGTACACAAGTGTGGGACAAAATTTGTCCGTTTTGCTGATTTCTTACCGAACAATTTATTGCCTCACAGAATGGGTTTTCATAATCACGTACATCTTTGTTCTTGAAAGGTCATCTGTCATCACCAATGTTTTTTTGCGTCAGCCCTTTCTTGCGCGAGGTAACACTGACCGACGCCGAATTTGTTTCCTCTTTTCAGTGCGTCCTCTCCGCTATTATTGTGGTCGCACTGAAGAACATTATTGCTCATCTGTCACATACTCCAAAGCTTTGGCGCACCTACAAACGTGATTTCGTAAGTCTGGTACCCTATATATTGAACCACTCATCAACGGCAGCATGACATCAGTGCTCAACACCAATGCTTCACTGCCGTACAGCCATGACTTATTTGAAAGCCTTATTGTAAAGAAAAGAATAAAGGTGGATGGGGGAGGGACTTAGTGCTAGCTTAACACAATCATTCAGAGGTGGCTACACCTCCAGACATTCATTCAGGCAATCTGGACAGAAACTGACTACAAGAACGCCACTGACATCGGTTGGCAGCCGTATCTTGTAGTGTCTCCAACCAGGCACAGTGAGGATCACGCGGTCCTCATCCTGGAAGGCGAGTAGCACCGACAGCACCCAAGCGTTTCGTGATCTCCTTCATACTCCTCTGCCAGGTCATGGGTTGGCCACCTCTCTGTTTACGCCACTCCGAATTGGGCATGGAAAACAGTACTCTCTTCGGCAAACGATGGTTCGGCATGCGTAAAACATGTCCAAACCAACGCAACCATGAACCACACCGTGATTAGATTGGTCTCGTAATCAGGAATTAAGTGCAGTTGGGACCACTCATTCACAGAGGTCACGATAGCTATGTTCCATATGATTGTGCTTGGCATTCATGCAGTTCATCAGTTCCTACCCTGGAGGTGAAATTCTGTCCTAAACGCTCAATCTAAAGCGAAACTATTGACTGGTCGCACTGGAGAGAAGAATGATGCGAGCGACAGTGCATTTGGAAACAAACACAAAAAGCTTCTAAAACCAGTTGGTTGATATTTTTGCGCTGGCGGGGGGGCGAGCGACAGTGCATTTGGAAACAAACACAAAAAGCTTCTAAAACCAGTTGGTTGATATTTTTGCGCTAAATTGGCGGGGAGGGAGGCAGTTACATATAATTTATCTTCACAGAGTTCCTAGCAATCTTCACTATTCAAAACCAGATCGTTCCACAAAAAACAATAAGATCAGACGGCTGGTATAGTTCGGTGTATAACCAAACTGTGTTACGTGGACCCACTTTGTTCATGTAGTAGACACTCAGTGGATTTATTCTGTGTGAGCGGGATATTCAGCTGACCGACCAAACTGTACTACCTGCATAAGCAAAACCAACTTCGCCGGTATTGAGTAAAATGAGATGGGTTTTGCACTGAATATTCAATTTTAGATTATAGTAAACAACAGACCCCCTGAAAATGCTGATTATTTTCCCGTTTAATTGACATCTAGTATAAACGATGTATCAGTTCCTATCATGAAACCTATAGGGAATCTTGTCAACTGGAGAAACATCATTCCGGCTGCGTAGCCACCACTGGGGGGCGTCATCAACGGAACCGTAAGATTGAAGGATCCCAGTAATATATCATACCTAACCACAAGTTAGCCAGTGGTGATACGTTGAGGAGATTCTGTGATTTTCAACTGAGATTCCAAACTGTCAGTGAAGCCGATCTAAACTGAAAAGCCGAGAAGCAGTGTACAGCTGTTTCACCGTCATTGGAAATCGTTAGCTGAACACGTCCTACGAAACTCAAGAGAGTTTTGACCCTGCGACCTACCGATCACCAGTTGAAAATGGCTTAACTTTCGGGATGAAGTTAAGCGATGAGTGGAACCTCTATCTGAGAAGTCGTTATTCCAGGAACCAGTTTACACTCGGCGTTAATTCCGTGGCTGAAGGCTGAGAGACACTATTGGCTGTTGTTCTGTTCTCCGACCTTCACAGTTGGAGTACAAGCGTTTCATCACCGACTGAAGTGACCTCGTCAGTGTGAGGTTGAGTGGGTTGAGAGGCACGCCACCCTGCCTAAGTGCGAGTCGATTACACCGGTGATCAAATGCTCGCAGTCGAGCCGTTTAGGTTTCAGGTATAGTCGTAGGATCGCGGGCTTGAAATCCTCTTTTGATGACGAGTTTTCAGCACAGACTGGGGCGTAGGTTGACCAAGGTTTACTTGAAAATCTCAGTATTCTAGGACTCTATCTATAGTGCATCTAAAATCCAGTGTACCACCCAGCTAAGCTGGCCATCAGTGCATTCGTCTATTGAGGAAAGGCAAGTTTCTCAGCAGACCTTGAAATAAAGCTATCTGGGATGCCGGCTGTCTGTTGTTCCAACCGGCCTATGCATCATCCAAAATTCATCTAGTTCGTTTTTTACAGTAATCCACCTCAGCTGACACTTATAGTCCTGGTTCGTCCCAAGAAGGACAAAATCGGCGGTGGACTGCTGAGGAGTCCTCTCCAAACTTATACTGTTATAGCTATGGAACTTGCGGTCGTTTTCATGTGTTGCTATGCTTGTTGCAGTATTTTTACCTCGCGCCTTTTGTAGTTTACTTCACTGGACTGGATGATTGTTGCCTCCACTGGTTTATACCCAAAATGCTTTAGGTTAATTGCATTAATGGACATCTAGAGAACTTTAGTTATTAGTTGTTGACCGGGTAACTGGTAATCTTTTCGCCGTGGTTGATAATTAACTTGCAAACATTTCGTCGCCATACACAGGGATGTCACTAGTGAGAAGTTGGGAAGACATTCTTTGCTTGCGTGCGTTTAGATATCTATTACACCTATTATCCCTTAACGCGTGTGGCCAATTTGGAGGCAGCATTCTTTTGTGATCTTTGCTGTCTGTCCGTATAGTGACAAAACGTTTGCAGGTCACTTGGCAAGGTCGCTGAAAAGATCAACGGACATCTGATCAAACGCCAATAAACTTACCCGAGCCACAGATATTTCGACACGCTACCAACTGTTATTTAACTGTTATGAAGCTTGACTCGTTACTCTTGAACCGAGATGCCTGCGCCAACTGCGTTTTGGAGGCTTTCTATCTGGATGGGACAGTACAGTGTTTTCTGAGGTGGGCAACTGTGCTGTCCACTCACATTCACTCACCTTTTGGCAATGAACATCTTGTGTAGGTGTCTAGACCACTGGGGGGAAACCAGACAACATTAGACAAACGAATTAAACCTTCTTTGCTGTTTCAGTTCCTTTTCATGATCACCTTCGTGGTCACACTCGTTCTTGATGTGACGATTGGCCTGGTTGTCGGCGTCGTTGCCTGTTTACTGGCCCTGACGGAACAACAAAGGGCCCTGACCATCACGCTGCTGGATAATTTACCGGGGACAGAGCTATTTTTACACGGAAGGGCCAAAGTGAGTCAGAATCAAACCAAGTTCCCCTGTTTTATCTCCTTGTTTTGCCCCCTGTCTGTGCGTAAATCTCTGGACTGTGCATTTGCAGGCATTTACCAAATACTTATGCTTAACGTCCGCCAAACCCCCCGAAAAGACAAATTTGTTACCATGTACCGAACTTTAACTGCTAAAGTCACATCTCTTTGAGGTTGGCTCATGAACACGTTGGTTAGTGAGTCTGCGTTGCGAACGCACTGGGGCAAAATTCTATCCCAAAGTTCAGCTACGCATCAAAACGACCTACTTTGGATCGGTTCACTGTAGTCTGGTAGTCAGACCCAGGCTTGTTCATGTGATCCACAAAGATCTTCAGCACAGATCAAAGAACACTTTGGCAGTGGTCAGTGAGAAGAATGTCCTATTCTTTTACGTAATTTAAGTGGAAATCTGTGGCTTTAATATCAATAAGATGACAGAACTGTACCGTTGACGCCATCTTGTACGCTACAGTTTTGATGTATTTTCCTGAATTTCTCCTTGGAAGTATCTCGTACCCATATATCCAGCCTAAATCACTCTAACATCTCTCATGTGTCTCAGTATGAATGATAAACGTTAGTGGCTAGACAGTGGACATATTGATTGCGCTTGCCCGATGTTTCGACCACCGAAAGTCGGCTCCAACGAGGAACAGATGAGTTAGTTCGAAACATTATTAGTGTGGCAAGCCAAAGCTCGGTTAACTTACTGTAGGATGTGCTGTGATTGGTGCGAATTTCATCGTGTTCTGTCGCCTGTATGTGTTACACTGTGTGCATCTAACCTTGGGACTGAGTTTTGTCACGTGCTGTATGTCGTGCTGGTCCAACTGGGTACAAGACTCGCGAGTAATAAACAGGATAGTGACGCAGCAGTTGCGCCACATGCATCAGCTGAGTAACAAATGGTTAACTTTGAGCATATCCAGCAAAATCTCGACGTAACTGAGCCTGGGCACTGTGCTGAATCGGTGGCTATTCATAAGACGCTCCCGTGCATTAGCAAAGCTGACAGTGCTGAGTAATGAAAGGCGTCTCAAGCATGACAAATTCCACGTGACAACCCAGTCCCAAGGTCGGGTAAAAAATGAAGACATCGTAACGCACACGCAGGCAGCAGGGTATGCATTACATTCGCATTAACCACGGAAAAAACGACAAGTTGATCAATGCTTGCCTGCCCGCATCGGTGATGTCCAAATGTCAGTAATTTGTTCTTTGATAAAGGTCACTCTCGCTGGTCGTATAATATATCCTCTGTAGGGTCACCGTCACAGTAAATAAGCCCTTGTGAATATGTTCCATATTTCCAACTAACAACATGAACAAATTTCCTATGCTGACCTTATCCATGATTGACCTCTCATTCACACGCTTTCTGCAACCTGTCAGCTTGTCTAAAACAGTGGATCAACAGAATCAAAGTTCACTTGACGGACACAAACCCTAGGGTAGATTCGAGAATGTTCACTGCATGAATAATGAACTTCCAGGTGAAGCATCAATATGAACTTGAGAAAAGTGTGTATGCACCACAATGTCTTTTCATCTGATCGAGACCAGGTGACAGCCAGCATACTCAGAATTTGGGTTAGAGTAAATTTCAGACATGATTAAAGCATTGCTTAAGAGTGAAGCCTTAATGATGAAATGGATTCAACCTGGGTAGAAACATCAGGTGAGGTATATTGATCAATGACAGATTCTTGTACATGGTTTAGTCGTTGATTGGTGAACAAAAAGGGAGTTGTCATAATTACTGTCCTGTGTTTAATATTTTAGGTAAATCGTGCTCTTTTTACTTACAAACCCCACACCGAAGTAATAAAACTGCATTTAAGACATTTACCAATTAGTTTGCAACCCAGGTAGGGCTGTCCACCTCAACCGACCGCGTGCGATAGGTTGGTCCCCATTCACCTCTCCTACGAGTAGTTTGCGACTGAGATCATGAAGGTGGGTCTGCTAAGGTTGGATTTCACGACTAAAGATCTCTTCCCAACTCGTTTCATCGAGTGAGAGACAGGGGAGCTTTGTGAGACAGGCTTGCGGCCCCATGAGAGCCACCCATAGGTACCTACGACGCAGACATTTTTCTCGCTGGGACGAGCTGGGATATAATACAGGCACATTAGATTTTTCCATATTTTAATATCAAGTAGACATATAATGTTGGTTAGGTGAAAGAGGCTGGAGCCTCGTTCGAACAGCTGCTTTAGACTTTATCAGGTGAAGCGTCGGGTTAAGTTATCGATGCACTGTTCATCAACGCTCCCACCCTATCTAGTCACAGCCCGTATAGTAACCAACCGAGTGCAGTCGGCCCTTCGGTAGTTCAAAGAAAAGACTCCACGGGGCGAAGTTAACTCCGCTTAGGGCCAGTTATTCAGCCAGTGGTGTGAGTATCTATAAAGCTCAAGGCGCTGAATTAACGAACTGGAAACAGCTTACTATAATCTGAAGGAGATTTAGGAAAGATATGAGAACAGTCAAGGCTAAAAAACCAAGAAGCGCTGTACAGCTGTTCCATCCTTAATGGAAATCATCAGCAGTGCGTACCTCATGAAATTCGAAATTGGTTCGAACCCGTGATCTCCTAGCTCTCACTTACTTCATTTAACAGTTGGACCACCAGTAGCAACTGCTCAGTACTGTGATCAACTCGCACGTTTACAGGATATGGCGCCACTCATTCGTCACGTGATCAAGGCGCTGAATTAACGAACTGGAAACAGCTTACTATAATCTGAAGGAGATTTAGGAAAGATATGAGAACAGTCAAGGCTAAAAAACCAAGAAGCGCTGTACAGCTGTTCCATCCTTAATGGAAATCATCAGCAGTGCGTACCTCATGAAATTCGAAATTGGTTCGAACCCGTGATCTCCTAGCTCTCACTTACTTCATTTAACAGTTGGACCACCAGTAGCAACTGCTCAGTACTGTGATCAACTCGCACGTTTACAGGATATGGCGCCACTCATTCTTCAGTCACGTGATTACGTTTTGGCCGGCTCTTCGAGCGGTGACTTTCCATGCCAAAGGCTCACATAACTTGTGAATTGTCCCCCCTTTCTGTGCTACGTGTGGAGTATTAGCAACACGAAATGGTTTGAGCGCCTCATTGGAGACATCACCCTTCATATGAAGTCAATCTGTCCTGAAAATTCAGACTTTAGACTTTATTGATGCAATTCCCATCATCATCATCATCAACACCAACAACATAACTTCATCGTTCAGCACTGATACATCCCTGCCGTACGAATGCATCGGTTCGATGGAAAACAGTCAATAAATTATTTATTTGTCCACCTCGCACTGTGTCATATTTTTTCCAAACCCGCGTCGAATATCTCCCTTTTCTCCACTCCAGCTCGCCACTGGTGAGTTGCACTCCACAAAATTCCTGTACCCTCTTACTCGTTCGATCATCTCCTGCCGTCTGATCGGGTCGTTAAACTTTGCGTCCTCCGAACAGCTGGAGAGTAAGATTACCAAAGTACTCAAAGAACACGAGAGCCGTTTAGGTTCTTTGGAAGATTTTGAATATGCGGTGTAAGTAACCCGAGCAACACAGTCTCTGCTGATCCGATTCTGGAAACGCAACAAAAGCATCAGCAACGGCAGAAGCAGCAGAACACCGCCGACAAAAGGTTGTCGGCTGCCGAAGAAGCGTATCGAAGATTTTCCAGTAACCTTGACCGCATCGAGGTAGGTGAAAACAGTCGTCAGTCAGATCGCAGTATGAGACAGACACTTAGTGTGTCAGTGTACGTGAAAATGAGACGCGCGGCGTGCATCCGGCTTTTAGCGTTTATCATTAACGAATACTATTTCGGATTTTCGCTCCACTCTGCATGTGAATCCACGTGTGATCCCCATAAACTGTACGGGGTGTCGTGGACCACAGTTCGTTTTTTGGTTTTTGGCGCCTTCCAGCATTCGCTGAACACGAAACTGTCTAACATTGTCACGCCGATAATCCTCAATAACTAAACCCGGCAACGGTCTACTTGGTGGGCATTGACAACTTGACATCGGAAACATCGACTGTTGAGTACATTTTTGATGAATTTACCTTTATGGGGATGTTATTTCTCAGGAGAATTCTCATGTCCGTTCGGATTTCACAACATGGTTATCATCGTCTAAATTAGTATGGTAATCAATAAACTCTATTCGCTGGAGTCATGACTGCACTCTTCCTGGGTTGGTATACCATGGGTGAATGTGTGCTCGCATGGATGCGGTAGGAATATATGGTCAAAGACGCTGTAATCAATGTACGAGTGAGGGAAGTCTGCTCTTTGTATACCAGCAGTTCATTGGCCTCGCCCAGTTCCTTACATCCGCAAAATGGAGTCACGGAACGGTATTCGGTCTATAAATTTGTATGGAATGATCAAAATCCTGAATCTGATAACTCAGTGGCTTTAGTATCCATCACCCATCTGACTAAGAGCTCCATCCTACAAGTGGCACAGCAATCGTCATTTATTATTATTATTATTATTATTATTATTATTATTGTCAGCTGTAAGAACCGCGTACTCGTCGTACGGTGGTTGTAGCTGCCCGACCTAAAGCTGACACCCTGACGTGGTGGTCGGACCTCAGTGC